GTTCAATTTCTAACATTTTGTGAATGACTAGGACAGATTGATCGGTGTTTGTGTTTCATATGATCAACAGAAACTCAGCAACTGAAAAGTAAAAAAACAATAGGATACAAATCATTTTGGGGCTAGAAATAGAAAAGAATTTTTGAGACAAGTTACTGGATTCCTTTCAATGCATGGCAGGATGTTATAGTTGGAGTGAATGCAGGTTTGCCTGCAACCCCGATAATGAGAACGTTATACAAAACAAACTGGAATCCCCAATGCCGTGGATTGGCATGTATATTGCAGTAGCTTCTGGATAAAACTCATTGATGACTAGTTCTAAAATTAATTAATTATTTATAGGACGTAGGCCTTTCAACTTGCAATCCACTAAGATGGCAATCCAGATGATGAATAGAAGTTCTTAGGAGTAAACTTTTTTTTTTTTTTTCCCTTTTGTGTTAGAATTTCGGTGTGACCCGAATTCTATTTTCGAGGTATATTTCAAGTTGTTTGTTTTGAAGAGATCTTGAAGAAGTAGAAGACTTTGTAAGAAGTCAAAACAATAGTTTTGGACTTGTGTTTCAACTCAAATACACCGTTATCGATTTTATTTAGTATAAAAATGGCTTGGTTTATGTAAAATGTCTCAAATATCGATATTACGAGACATCTTATATTTTTTCTAAACTTGATGATGGAACCTGTTTTCTTATTACTTTCCAGAGATGAATTGAGAAATAGTAAGTTTTATTCTGCACTTTCCTAGATATTAGGATTAATTTGACCTTCTAGAGTCATGAACCACACATTATCTTAACTTAATTCCAAGTGGAAAATTTTGTGCTTCTATGCAATATCTTCTTCTATGCATCTCTTTCATAATTTGTCACACGCCCACAGTCCATTATAGTTACATTTTCTTGAAATTGTCTACATATATTGTTGGAAAAATATGGTGCAAATATTTATACTCGGACACTGAAATTTGCGTGCAATTATTTTGCAAAATGAAATTGTACAGAATTTATATTTCCTAGAAATGTAGGAAAAATAAGAATTTATAAGAAGATGAAATAAAATGAGGTATCACTACACTACACAAGTGTTATCAGAATCAAACGGAAGTTAGTATCCTAAAATACAATGTCTCGTAAGACAACACAATATTAATATTATTCGACGAACTAAAGCTTAATCGTATAAACTGAATGATATCGAATACTAAAATATTGAACACTAAAACTTGATAACAATAGAAAATTACTATGAAAGAATTTGGAGGGAGAGGAGGACATTAGAAATCAATTATCTTGAAATTAATTTGGATGGAAGAAAATGAAATTAATAGGGTTTAATTCATGGATTTTAATGTGCCTAATAGGAACAATTGCATCTTTTGGTACAAATTCATTTGAACAATTAGATCACACCACGATGTGATTGTCTAAATCGCATCATACACAAAGGTTCGTGACTTTTCATTATACACCTCTTTGTACTTGAAATCACGACCCTTCAATATGCACCCATTGTATTTGAAAAACTGCATCTAGTCATTGCACCCATTAGAAACTTATTCCAATTCACACATATTAAAATCATTAAATCACATCAATTAAACCATTAATTTCACACATTCTTATGTCTGAGAAGCACTAGGGAAGACTTGTCTATTGTTCTCTCGGTTTTTCTTTGTTTTCTTCTGCTTCACATTTCTCGAATGGTTCGGGAAGACTTATTGTTTCTTTCTTGGTCTTCTTGAGTGGGTTAATTTTATTTTTGAAATCTTAATTAGGGTTCAATCACATCTCACGTAGACATTAAATATTGATGTGAATGAGATAATTATCTTTTATTTCCAGGAAATACATTGCCTAACCAAGTCATGTTTGCAAAATTTTAAAGTATATGTCACTTTAATATGATTTGAGAGACGACGATTTATTTTCAATTTAAGTGATATATACATATGCATTTAGAGCTAAAAACATGGTTCGGTGCCTTTTTATGGCACTGTTTCATTTTTGCCAGGAAACTTTTTTTATTTTTTATTTTTGGTTCCAAGTTTGTCATTAA